ACCGATCTGCCACGGCCACTCCCGTGGGTCAGCTTCCACGGGGGCGGGCCAGACTGGCAGCGGCTTCTCCGTGGGAAATTTTGTTCGAGCAGATCGCTCGAGGTACCTCGGCTTGGCTATGCAAGCCTCGAAGTCGACAAGCCACGGGACTGTGCGTCCGCGAGGGCGCACCCTCCACCAGCACCACCCCCGCGATGAAGGGGGCGACAGGCCTCGGAACAAATTAGCGAACATTCATGCCACATTCATCTGTCAACGCCTCCCTCTACCCCCAATGTTCAAAGTTGGCGGTGTGTCTGATGACGTACACTTCGACCGCAGTCTCCCCCGCGCGTGCCAACATCGAGTTTTGGGGGGAGGGGGAGTGCTCAGTATTTGAAGGGGACGATCACGCTGCAGATGGCGAAATCCAGCTCCCGGCTCCCGCACGTGGGCTCCTTTGGGCGGAGGACGTGCTTCTGCGCCTTCCTCGACCATCACCAAGCGCCATCCACTGCTCGCAGAGTGCCTGCTCGCAAGCGTCCAAAAAGCACATGTCTGATGTCATGTAGTTGATCGTAGATCCCCGCGAGGGATCCAGGCCATGTGCGATTAGTTTCTTTGCGAGTAGTGGAGCGCGCTCGTCTAGACCAAGAATGCAACTCCAGCAGAGTCATGTTCCAATCTCCTGCTATCAGCCACGGGGCCTGCAAAGACCCCACCTGCTGCATTGGGGGCTCCAGGAAGTCGAGGCTCTCCCCCATGAGTCCGATGCTGGTGGTGAGGTACACCGAGATCACGTAGAAGGATACGTTGAGACCAATGTGTAACATCATAGCGGAGACCCGATGCCCCGGAAAAGTCGCAGATGGCCTGGGCGAGCATGGTGAAGACGTGTTTCTGGACAGAATCGCGCATCCCCCGTTGGACTCTGTGAGTCCCGCTCCAGTGGACTCTGCCGGATGAAAGTTGTGGTAGAAGCCCCTGTCCGATGACCATTTGCGAGCTTGCGTGACCTTGCTGGCCTCCTTGAGCCGATGCTCCCCTGGAGAGAAAGTACATCTGGGAACCGCAACTCTGCATCATGCACACCTCAACATGGATTGCGCCGATGCCCACGTGCTAGAGTTGAAAGACCACACCGTGAAGGAAGCAGTACGATCCTTACCCTCGCTTGGGTTTCTTGGCAATCGACTGGAATCCATCAAGAAACCGTTTGACGGCTCCCGAGTCGGAGATGTCCACGTCGGCTGTCTCGAGATGCTCTTTGAGGGCGGGGCCTTCGGCGTCCAACCTCATGGCAGGGGTAAACCTAAACGGTGGTTTGGCGACTTCGTGGGTCGTGTTCGTTTCGATGTCGTCTTGCAGTAAGAGGCGGGCCTGGGTTGGGGACAAAACGAGGGAATAGCGAAAACAAAACGACAACGAAAGGCACCGTGTGGGTTCGGCCCTGCCTCACGGCACCGCCTGCAGGCCCACCACCGGCAGCTTCCGGCTGGCCCTCCGCCTGCAGCAGCGGCCCCGGCAGCAGGCACAGCTCCAGCAGCAGGCACATCTGAGCAGGTGGCGGCAGCTCGGCCTGGGCCTCTGCCTCTCTCGCGTCGGCCACTGCTCAGGAGGGAACAAAACACACAGAGACACAGTGAATCGCCGACTCCCCAGAAGATATGGGAAAATATGGGAAGTGGGGGGGGGGAGACAAAAGTCCCGAAAATATGGAAAATGATGGGGAACCCTTTTATTTGTTTGTGTGTTTATTTGTGTGTCCTTGGGCCCCTTCAAGTGCTGTGAACGCTGAGATGACGAAGCCAAACCGTCTGCTCCCACTCTCGAAGGCCTGCGTTAAGGAACGCGAGGTGCTCCGAGTCCAGCTGCGGGTCGACTTCGGCCTCCTGGCCGGCGACTGCGGGGAGCACCGTCTTGACTTGAGCGGCCTTGACGTGCTTCTCGATGTCGGCGAGGGCGGCCCTGTGACGCGCGAGCTGCTGCTCCTCGGCGTCGTGGTCCTCGCGCGCCTTGCGCAAGACCTTCCCGGCCTCTGCAACGCGCTTCTTGGCCGCCTCGATCTGCTATTGCTTCTTGGCCTGCCGCTGCAGGAGGTCCTGCAAGCTCTTCTTCGATGGGTCGGCAGGGGCGGACGCGGCAGCTTGGGCATCTGCCAAGGAATTCCGCAACTCAGCAAGGACCAGAGACTCCTTAGCCACGCCTCGCTCCTCGAAGATAGCCAGGAGCTGGTCGTTGGTGAACTTGTCCTCGTCGGCCCCTTCCTGCACGGACTGCTGCCGAGCGTTCCGCGGGTCGTGGCCCGACGCCCGAGGTGGCCCCCGACTCCGCTGCCGGCGCTGCTGGTTGAGGATGTGCTGGGGAGCCTTTTCGCCGCAGTGCATGCACTCCGATCGGGTATGGCCAGGACCCTGGGTAAGGGGACCCGGTTAGTGGTAGGGCCCCGGAGCCTTCGAATTGGCCAGAATCACTAAACCAGGTTTGCCGTAACTGGTGTTTTTCGGTTGGCGGCAGTTCCGGTTAGTGGAAATGGGACGGGGGGGCGCCCCCAGTACAGATCACTAAACCAGGTTCCACTAAACCCAGTTCTGCCAACGTCCGATCCGAGCGGAAGCCGAAGTTCTGGAAGCGGCACGCTTGGGCGCGGCACGTCCACACCTTGATGTGGTGCGTTCGTCCATGGCCTGTCGTGAACGGATGGCTGAAAGTTGGCTCTGGCCCGCTGCGCCACTTCCAAGTGCGCGGACCAAAAGGTTTGCCAGAAGCAGCACGAAACCTGGAAATGGCTACGTAGGAGGGTGAGAGGAGGAGGAGGAGGAGGAGGAGGAGGAGGAGGAGGAGGAGGAGGAGGAGGAGGGGGAGGGGGAGGAGGAGGGGGCGAGGGGGAGGAGGAGGAGGAGGGGGAGGAGGAGGATTTTTTGAGCACTGTGGCTCTCGCTGCATGCTTATAGCACACTGAAAGTGTCAGAGAGTAAGGTGACCCCTTTCGCTTTGGGATGGAGTCCCTTACAGATCTTGTTCCAGGCGTCAGAGTTGTAAACCGAAACCTTCTGACCTGGACAAATCTTACTGAGTGATGCAAGGCGGGCTCCACTAGTGTATCTCTGGCATAACGTACAAACGACAACAAACGAACCGTTCGAACAATCCAGGAGGATACACTTGTGCTTTAAATCTCTAAGCCGCCGAACATCCACTCTCATAGAATCAGAACAATGTCCAGGGGCAGGCTCTTTGTCGGCGGCGTTGCGCGACGTCCTGAGGCACCCTTGACAAATCCAAAAACGTTGGTCCCCTCCAGGAGGCCCGAGCCACTCCCACCGATGAGGCGAGGTTGAGGAGCGGGGGGCCTGAGCGGGGGCAGACCACGAGGCACGGGAGAGGTCCGTGCGCGGCCATAGCGGCAGAAGAGCAGCACACAGTCTGACCGCCATGAGCGCCGAATTCACAAGAGTAGTGCATGCGTTTGCTATATCCTCCGACGGCGCCTGGTGGGACTCAGCTCCCAGCTTGGCGGCCTTATCGGCGAAATCATTTCCTATCCTTCGAAAACGCTCGTCATCGTCGATCTCTGGATCGTCGATGGGAAGATGCGCAGGCACTTTCTCACACCCAAGCGTCCTTTTTCCTCCAAGAGAACGACCCTGAGCGACGAGCCCCGCATAAGGACGCTTGGGTGAGATCTGTTGGTGTCGGGCCATGCCGTGCATGGAGACAACATTCTGGCAATCTGAATACAGAATAGCAGGTGCAGACAAGAAAGCGCACGCCATGGCATAAGCCGAAAATTCACCTGCCTGGGGAGTCTGGGGGCAACTGTCCCACACGGGGCCCCAGCTCCAAGCAAGAAGATTGGCACGGGGGCCCATCATCGCTAAACCCCAACCGGCTCTATTCGAGCTGCGGACCACCCGTCGAGAACACGAGCCATCAAGGAAGACGTGGCCCCACATCTGGCGGCGGCCGTCGCGGGGCATCTCCATGCCTTCGGCCGCGAAGCCTTCAGGAAAAAACTGAAACTGGATACCATCATCCTCCTCGGATCTACTGTCGGACTTAGGGGGCGGGAGCACACTCTGGGGGTGTCCAAACAAACCAGAGGTGAGGTGGAACCGTTCTCTCTCCGAAACCGCTTCGGACTGACTCAAAACCTGCTCCAGAGTACTGCGAGGAATCAGCTCCCTCCGCTCCTCCTCCACCGCCGAACACGCATATAGCCGATGAAAAATCGTGTCACCAGGCTGATGGCAGAGTGGGCAACGATCGTCCACTTCGTAACCTGCTGCTCGTGCACGGGCGTAGGGCCAGATTCCTTGACAGGCACAACAACGGATAGTTCCTTTCTGGCGAGCAGTAAACTTTTTGGACCGAAGGGCTTTGATGACGACATCAAAACATAACGACTCGGCCCCTTCGGGGCCGTACTTGGCGGCCGCTTCTCCTTCCAACGACCGCCAAACCCCCTCTTTGAGGAAAACCTGGAGGAGAGAAGGAGGCGTAAGCGTGAGCGAACGAATGCTCGACTCCCAAGTCGCTGACCATGACAAAAGGCGAGGGCATGCTCCATCCCAAGCGGGCCAGGGATACCTTCATGGCCCCAATGGGCCCGCTCACAGTCCTCCAGGTCCAAGAGCGCCCGAAAACATCGTGCCACATGTTTCGGAGCTCGGCCCAAGAAAAACAAACTTCGGAGGCCCTCGTGGCACGGGACCAAACTTCCTTGGCCCACCTGATGGCAGGCGCCACCGCACCCCACCACGCAGGATCGCCTTCAATCCTGCTGAGGATGGTTAAACTTCGGCCTCCGCAGGCAGGCTTCATAGTGGAGGCACACATACGTCTGACTGTTGTTAACTCTCCGTCACTGACCCCGTGAACTTCAGCCCCATAATTGACTCCCGCGAGAGGTCCCGCAGCGCAGAGCTTCGTAGCCCTTGGTCCTTGAACTCCTCTTTGACGAGCCAGCCTGCCAGCACGCCTAGAGGCTCTCGCAAAGCGCGTCTTCGCCCTGCTGTTGCGCCCACGGACTCGCCTGGCGCAGCCTGCAGTGTCATCAATGCCTAAATTGACGAACGACTCAGTACAGACTCCTCCAAGCCCCCCTAGCCGTTTCTGGACATGTCTGGCGATTTCCTTGGAGGACGCAACCAGCCCGACCTTGTCGGGGGAGACTTGCGCGAAAAGAACCTTGTCGATGATCTCCTCAAGGGACTTAGCCGCTCGAGGGAGTTCTTTCATAATGTATCTAGTGGTCCCACTCGCATTAATCCCTAGGTCATCAATGTAGGCGTCGAACGTGATCCCCTTAGGGACCTCCAGTTGATCAAAACCCCGCAGGGCAAAAATCCTGATCATAGTGGTGGCAAAACTGCATCCCGCTATGATTCCAACTCTCGCGTACGTGGGAGGCGCAACCACTCCCGCCAGCACTAAGAAACGGGCAGAACGGTATCCCGCCATGCAAACATCGGTGAGCGCATCAGGGAGACCGTGCTGCCTGCATCGAAGAGCCAGAAGTTCCAGAGGGATGCGCTCGTAGTACTTGACGAAATCCCAGAGAAGAGTACAGGCCTCCTGCCCGCAGGCTCGGGAAGACTCCGAACGGGCACTTTGCCTCCAAACAACATCGCACGCGGACTTGAATTTTCCCGCCGCCCAGTACTCTCTCTGGTGTTTCCCTTCCCACTCAACCGCATAATCTCTCCTGCATTTCCCCCATAATCTGTACAGACTAGGAAACACCCCGATGGGGCGGAAGCCAGAGGAAGGCTTCGGAAGCATGGCAATAATCACGGCCTCCAGCTGCGGGGGAAGGGTACCCGTGAGTTCCATCAAAGTGAAAAGAACGCGAGAGGGCCCACAAAGCCCCGTCGGACAGCACCGAAAAGTGTCTCAGGTGAAACCCGTCCAGGCCCGTGGCAGACCTGTGGGCAAAAGTGCGAGAAAGCTTCCGAATAATGTCAACCGAAATGGGTGGGAGTGGGGTATTCACTTTCCCTGGCCTTTTCTGAGGTACAGGGAGCCCTTCCCACAAGTAGCGAAAACGAACAGCTTCGGCGGCCAGGAGCGCCTGCGGGTCGGACACCACGCAGCCTCCAGCACTAAGTGTAGTGGATGGTGTCCATCCTTGAGGATCTCTGGTGTAGCCATGCGCCCTACGCCCGCCTTGATCGACATTCTCGGTGAGCCAGTCCGCCCAATCCCGTCTGGCCTTGGCGGCGTAGAAGGCGCTACATTCAGACACAAAGTCGGTAACCTGGGTAGAAACCTCTTCGACTTGGGCAATCAAAACCTCCTGAGCCTCCAAAAAGCTAGGATCATCACCCGACCCTTCCAGCGGGTCAACCAAAACCTTGAGATCCAAAATCACCGAGGAAACTCGACCGAAAACCACTTCAATCCCAGGGAACAGGTTGTCGGGCTTACACAAGCTAGGGGGGGGAGACGACAGAACGCACCCCACTTCCCTAGCCTGAGGCCGGGGGAGGAGGAGGAGGAGGAGGAGGAGGAGGAGGAGGAGGAGGCCCAGGACGAGTGGGCCCGGCCAGGGCTGGCGCACAGTTCCAAGCCTCCCAGGCGAGCGCCGCAGACACAAGCCTATACCCCCCCTCGCGTTGTGAAAAAAAACACGCCGGGAGGTCCCTTGCTAGTTTCGGCCTCCGGGGGCCCTTCCCGGGCCTCGGGAACGTCAAGAAACGATTCAGGATGAAAAACAGGTCCCGGGGAAGGGGTCCAGTCCTCTGGGGGTCGACGCTGCGAAAAATCGAGACGTCGGGGGTCTGGGACTGGTCCGATCGCGTGGACACTCGTGCGTAAGGTCGCGCGTAAGCGCCCTCGTCTCCACTGCAGCGCGTTGCAAGGACTGCCCGCGTAAGCCGCGGCGTAAAGTCGCGATGTCAGCTCGCGCAAGGCCCTTTTCTTGTCGTCGCTCCGATGTTCCCCGCGCCGACGGCGTCGATGCATCGCCGACGCATCACCGATGCATCGCCGACTATCTACTCGGACCCCGATGATGATGCACAGCCAGCGTCTTCCTGCAGGTGGGAGGCTCGCGTGCAGCAGTGCTCCGAGCTCTGCCTGCACTGCGCTGGGTCCGCCCAAGCTCGGGGAAACGTAAGACTCGAGTAAGCCAGAACTCGGGTTTGGCGACCTTTGTTGACGAGCGCGTCCTGGATTGTGACGGTCCCGTTTACGTGGGATGCGTGCAGCGGGAGCCCGCGTCAAATTTCAGATTGGGTCTCGTCAGGTTTATGATGGCCCCGTCAGGTCAACCCGAGTCCCCGTACCCGAGTCTTACGCCTCCCCGACAAGCGGCCGCCGATTGCCGCAACATCTACTGCGACGTCTTCTTCCGGAGGACGACCGGGCAGGTGCAGCTGGAGGCGCAGGGGGGCGCCTGCGGCTGGCCGCTGGCGCTGGAGGACTGGTGAGCCTGCCGGCCTGGGAAGCCGCTTGCGACCGTGGGGGTGGCCCTACAGCTTGGCGGAGTAGCTTTCGTCAAGCCCCCCAAAAAATGCAGTGCAGTTGCTTTCCAAAGGTGCTTCAGCCGGGCTTGCGCTGAGCCGTCTTGGTCCACACCCGATTCTTCGTTAAGTGTGCTTCTCCTCCACCACCTTTCTCGTCTTCTTGTTTTCCATCCTGGTCTTCCGCTTTCTCTTCATAGTCGTCCTTCTGATCCTCCTGATCTTCATCCTTTCTTCGGAGGCGAGCGAGGGGGGAAGTGAGAAGGAGAAGGCTCTCTCAGCAGGCAGCGGGACTTCTCAGAAGCCCACGCGCCTTCTCAGAAGTGTTATGTGTCTTCGGAGAAGGCTTAGAAAACTTCAGACGACTGGGTGACTTCCGAGCCTTCTGAGAAGGCCCGCCCCATCTCACTTCCCCCTGGGCCCGTCGCCGATTTCCTCCGTACCTGGCATGGTTGGCTCAAGTTCAGGCCGATCTCGGCCAAGCGATCGATATGATATTCCATTCGCTGATCAGGCGCGTGTCTCTCGTTCAAGAGTGAGACCACCTTATATCCCAACACACCTTCATACGTCCATGGATCCACCTTCACATCTCCATAGATCAATACCCCCATGCCCTCATTTACCGATCTGTCGGCATCTTCATCTTCCCTCCCCCCTCTGTTCCTCCTTCTGTCCATCTCCGAACCTCCCCCGGTTCCCTCGACCTCCCTCCCCCTACTTACAGAGCTCGCTTGCCGCATGCGGTGCTCGAGCTGGATCGACGTTCGATTGAGGAGGAGGAGGAGGAGGAGGAGGAGGAGGAGGAGGAGAAGGAGGAGGAGGAGGAGGAGGAGGAGGCGTCGAAGGAGGAGGGGGAGGGGGAGGCAAGGGAGGGGTGAGGAGGAGGAGGAGGAGAAGAAGGAGGAGGATAAGAGGAGGAAAGTTTGGTATTTGGAGGTTCGGGAGGAAGGGGAGAAAGGAGGAGCAGCAGGAGGATGAGGACAGCTTTCCCGGCTTGTTCACGCATTCCGAAAACTCTCTTGTCTCGGAGTGGTGTTCTCGCTTGAGCGCCGCGCCAACCACGTTCCAATCGGAAGTGGTGTTGTCGCCTCAGCGTTGGCTACATCGCTGTTGAAGAATGGTGCTATAGCCTGAGCGCTGGCCGCATCTCTGATTGGGAATTGTGCTCTCGCCTCAGCGCCCAATTGGGAATGCTGCCCTCGCTTGAGCCTCATCCACAACTACAGGTTGGGACGCGTAGTAGCTTAGGGTCTCCAGCCTGGAGGGGTTGTCGAGGTTGTCTGGGGGGGGTCCAGGATCTACTGGATAGTTATACGTATGTTTCCCATAAGTTGATGCGGATGTTGTTAGTACGATCTGCTGTTGCAGCTCCTCGTCCTCGTTCTGCCAGCGCGGTGGAGGCCATCCGGTCACGTTCGGCGAGTGCCGGTACGACAAGGCAGCGAGCAGCGCAGAGAGCGGTTCTTGCACTCCCACTGCTCTTCTATTCCTCGCCGTCCTTCTCCCCAAACCCCCGACGTCATAATTTGTTCATAATGTCGACCCTTGGTGGTCTCGACCTGCGTCGTTTCTTCTGACTGCCCCGCGGCCCGGCGAGGACCCCCCGAGGCCGAAAGTATCGAAACATTGCCCGTCGCGATTTCTTCGCGACGCGAGGGGGTCCGGGCACCTCTCGCCGCCCTTCTCCCCGTCCGTCGTCGTCGTCGTCCTGGGGCGTCCGCAGAGCAGCGTCGAAAGCCGAGGGGCTGGGGCTGTTTTTTAGACTTCGAAGCAAGGGAGCTCCCCCGACCCGCCTCGCCCACCCTGCACTACCGCGGCCTTCAGGCCCCACTGGTTTTCGAGTAAGTTAGGGGATCGACTAAAGACTTGATTTGCCCCAGGATGGGTTGTCTCCTCGAATTCCCCCCCGAAGAATACGCAAACATGTCGCAGGTCTTCTAGACCTTCTGCGCATGATTCGTAGATCCGACGGACAAATCCAGTTCGGGGTAAATCTATTCCTCAGTCGATCCCCCACTCGAAGGGTTCCGATGCCCCCTGGGTATCAAGCCTTGCGCCTTCGACGACCGACGACGGCATGATGCGGCCGCCGGGCCCCAAAGGGCCCAGTGTTATCTGGGGATCCCGCCCCGCGCTCTCGGGTGCAGATCGCGTCGGGGTGGCCTCGCAGACAGCACGTGGCATCGCCGATCTACGCGTTGTCTGACCAGGTGGGTGCGGATGGGCACAGTTCCGCCCGGCCATCAGATCTGCCGGCCATCGGCGGGCAGATCTTTTGTTGGGCCAAAGGGGGGGGGCATGACAGCCGTCCACACGAAATCGTCATGTTGAGGGCCCCGTTGATTGTCAATTCTCCTTTGTTGTTGAAGATCTTGGCGGTTCGTTCTCGCCAGGGAGACGGGATGATTCATTTCGGAGTGCCAGTTGCGCAGCCAGCAAGTTCAGCCAGTAAGCATATGATGGTTGCACCGTAAGCTCGGACGACACGAGGAGATAGAAATAATATGGTTGTCTCACTTCTCGAGTGTAGTTCCTGTACTTGCCAGTGGGCCACCGGCTTTGCATTCGAATCAACGCGGCGGTGGATTCTGACACTATGCTTGTCCGTCGTCCGCCTCCGCCGCCGTTTGTTCTGGAGCATTTGCTGTGGCGTCCTATCCAGCTGCCTCCAGCAATTCCGCCACCGTGCCAGCGCAGCATTCTGGGTGGCAAATACTCGAAAAGGCAAGGGGGCCTCTTGAGGGCCTCTTGGGGCAGAAGGCTAGAATCCTGCATTCGTGTTCCCACTCTTGGGGCCGTCTTGGGGCCCCCATGGGCAGTCGTGGGCGCCTCTTGGGCAAGCTTAGTAATGAGTCTCGCTAGACAAAATCCGAGGGAGGCACTCTGATTGACAGCTTACAATGGGCACCGGTGACGGAATCGCCAAGTTGTATTTTTCAGGTAAGGACTCACCATCAGCAGCAGTGATTCTCAGACGGCTCATGGTTTTGTTCGCCCGCGCGCCTCGCAAATGTGCACCCCAGGCCTTTGACCCCCGCCCTCCAACAACAACCTCATCCTCATCCCTCTCGTCCACACCCTCCTACGCACCCTGCTCCTAGTTCTCATCCTCTTCTGTTTGAGTGCGGCGGGCGGGGCGCAGGACAGGGACGCCGTCAAGCGGGCGTGGGCGGCATACGCGAGGACGCATCTGCGGCTGCTGCCTTGCAGCTTCCCTTTAGTTCCCCCTTGTTTCTTTCAGGGACTGAGAGGGCGCAGGGGGGAGAGGGGAGGAGGGAGGAGGGGAGGGGAGCGTGGGGAGGGAGGAGGGTAAAGGGGAAGGGAGGGGGAGGGAGGAGGGTGAAGGGGAGGATGGAGAGGAGGAAGGGGAGGAGGGAGGAAGGTGAGAAGAGGGAGGGATAAGGGTGAAGGGGAGGGAGGAGGGAGGGGAGAAGGGGGGAGGGAGGAGGGAGGAGTGGAGAGAGAGGAAGAGACAAGCTAGGTGCGCTCGGGCCATCTGACATCCTACCCCTCCTGCCCATCCTTTCCCATTGCGCCGACGTCTTTCTATCCGCCGCCGGCTGTCATCGAGGACCTGAACCCCCCCAAATGGTACCATCGTGTTGTGTGCAAGCGCAAACAGGAGCTGCGTACATTGGAGGAGGTGGAGGAGGAAGAACAGCAGGAGCAGAACCAGGAGGAGCGGGAGGGGCAGGAGGACCAGGGGAGGGCGGAGGAGGGGAAAAAGGAGGGGGCGACGACGACGAGGCAGGAGTCGGATGCAGAAACGTGGCCCGCGCTCCTGGCGAGAGCGCCATTCTGAACGAGAGGGGCACAGCGCCGACCCTGAAATGGAACCAGTGCGGGGAGCGCGGCATCGACGAACAAATGGTTGGCCAACGTGGGCCACCTTACTTGGAAGTTCCATCCGGGCCTACCAAGGGGTTCTGGGGTTGATGGGGTCCTGATGGGCCAAAACGAGATCCCAAATGACACCCCCTTGTTGGAATTGCGGAGGGCTTGAGATTTCTGAGTTGAGGTTTTGATCGTCTCATCCTGTGCGTTTCTCTCAATCGAAAATCGAATTCGCCCCTCCTCAATCCAGGTCTTCCCTGTCCTTCCTCTTACTGTAGGCCTCTCCAGCCCACGCGAGGTCCTCAACGCAGGCCCCCTTCTGCATTCCCCCCTCGCCCCGCGTGTAGCCCGCCTTCCCAATAATGAAAGAGCCTCATATGTTCCACCCCAATCCCTTCATCATCTTCTATGCCAACGCTCCGCCTCGTTCTCCTCGTCCTCGCACGTTGTCTGGGGTGTGCCGAGATGAGGTTTTTAGAACAAGCGGTCGTATCTACACGTAGGCGCGCGCGCCGCAATGTATAAAGAGGCGCAGGGGGATCATATCCCACTAACGGCAAGAACGTAGGCCAACGCATTCGGTTGCGAGACCTTGGGGGCCTTATCCACTAAGCCGCTCACAAAAGGTAGGGCCCGAGGCATTAGACCATTCCTGACGTCGAAGTGTGTCTCGGATTGGTGATTTCGGCATCCGACCCGAGCTCATCCCCCGACGGCTTTCAGGCAGTCCCAACAAGAGCCGTGAGACCGTGAGATCCCCTCTGTCTGAAACGCCGCGCCACGTGTCATTCGTTCCGCAACCGTTTTGGCTCAAACACGCTTCGGCTGTGAATGCCGCCATCTTCGTCAGACGAAGATTTCCTCGGGGCCGAGATCGAGGCCCCTCACGCTCCCAACGTAGATTTCATTGGGCCCGAGGTTGCAGATATTGACAGGCTCTCCTCCGACGAAGACTTCCTCGGGCCCGAGGTTGCAGATATTGACGGCCTTCCAGAGATTGCTGGAGATCCTCTTGCTCTTGCCGAGCCTGCCCCGCAAGTTCAATTGCTGGAGATCTGCACTGCGGCCGCCTACCAGCCAGCGCCAGTGCACAAGCGGGGCAGGCGCATCATTGATCGGACGACGCGAGAGTTGGCTTCTAGAGGTCAGGTGTTGCGTCCAGAGCAATGTTCGGAAGGCGTGCCGAAGCTAGCTGCTTACCTCTTGGGCGCCAGTGGCTCGGATCGTTCCTCGTCGACGGTGGCAACTGCGGAGAAGCTCAGACAAGCAACTGGCGTTTCTAGATCTCATTTCAATGAGTTGTGCGGCGCCATTGCGCATTGTTTGTACCAGAGTTTGAACTGTTCATTCTCGAGGTTTGCGAAACCAGTTATGGACATCTCATCCCAGCGGTGTTTCGAGAATGATGAGGGCCAGGCTGCAACGATGACGGCAGCCATCGAGTTCAGATTCAGGAGCTACGACGGCGCGCGCCAGTGGGTTCGAGTTGAAAATGAGTCTGATGCTCAGCCTGGTGCCGTCTCGATCGAGAGCACGGGCGCGAAGTATGAGGTCCTCGTTGCTGCCGCTGCTCGGGCTTTAGTTTTGTGCAAGAAGGTTGGCGATACCAGACAGTGGTTGACATTTATTGTGCATGAGCCGACTCTTCTCCAGGTGTCCGACGGCACCAAGGCGGAATCGATCGATGCTGGCTTGAAGCACTTGTCGACTGACCAGGATGCGTCTCTCGACCGCAATTTCATTCGGAATGTTGGCGTTGTCATCACAGACGAGCACGGCGCGAACCTACGCTATGAGAACTCCGTCAGGGACCGCAACCGAGACCGTGCCGCAGTGCAGATTATTTGTGACGCACACAAGAAGATGAACGCCACGACTCTCGGCAGTGAGATCCAGAGACCAGTGGATACCCTAATCATTCGGATGCAGTTATCAATGAGAGGGAACATCCCCAAACTTTTGAATGCCATGCGAGATTTGCTGGAAGAGCGACTCGTTGTCATACAGCACGGGCAGCTTTCTGATTCCGATTTTCAGCATAGCAAGCGGGTGTTCGACACATTTTTGCCAGAGAGGTCTTCTGCTGATAAGTTCAGGCGGCATCTTATCACGAGGCTTTGGAACGGGAGTTTGCGCAGAGCAGATAGGGTTGAACATCGCTGTCATGGTTGCTGCGCGTCCAGGGCACAGACGTTGTATTTGATGAGAACATGTGGGCTCAAAGCACTGCGCAAGCATATGGCCACTGTGATGGACAGGCAGAACTGGACGGGTGCGCATCTCAGCGTCGGCGGGCTGTGCCCCCCGTCTTTCGTTCGCAATCTGTTGCCCGATGCGTGCATCAGAGTGTTCTACGGCACGGCCCCCCTTCAGGTTGGCGACGGCGCGGATGGCGACGCGGCCGTCGGCGCGCCAGTCAGCGGCAAGTCAGGAGAGGACGAGCTGAAGGGTGCTGACGTTTCTGTGTGGCGAGAAGACAAGGGAGCGAAGATTTCCCGCACGCTTCAATGGTTGACAAGTGGATCTTTTCACGACGATGTATTTGTATATGCAGTGTCCCACGAACCGTGCAGCATCATGATGTTGAGAGAGTTGCAGCGTGCTGGAGTTGATTGGGAAGTCAAGCAACAACGCGAGCTTCTCCGCACAGGCTCGAGGTCATACCCAATTTGTGAGGCGGCTGATCGGCATGATGTTTCAGAGTTCCTGGGGACGATTGGTAAGTTTACTTTCGAGGATGGCCACTGGGATCTGCTGTCGAAAACTACAGAGGAGACACAGTTGCAGGTATTCGCATTGCGTGCTCGCCTGTCGGCCAGTGCTTACCAGCTGCTTGAGGTTCGGCATCGCAACTACCCTTGCAAAACTTTCTCTAGCCTTCGGAATGCCAACGAACTTCACGAGATCGGTGAGGTGCCGACGTGCACGCTGGATGACTACACTGAGAACTTCGTTCGTTGTTATAAGCCACGTGGCGGCGTTGCTGGAGACATGGCCCGTGCAGAATTGGGTTCTCTTTTGACGCTCCTGGTGACGAACACGTCCTCCATCGAGCGGACCCACAGCGAGAACCAGATGCAGAGTGGATCCAGGCTATGTGATGACGCAACGGGCGACGAAGACACGGGCACGGGATGGTAGGAGGATTGGTTTTCATGACGGGAGGTGGACTGTGGAGGGGTGACTTGAGCCAGGCGCGGAGGAGGAGGAGCGAGGGGGGGGGGGCAGGGGGGGGGGAGGATGAAGAGGCCCTTCCCTCGCTCCTCTCAGGCAGTTTACTTGGGGATTGGATGCACCATCACTCTCTGGGTTTTTCCTAGCCCGACAGATGTGGAAATGGCAGCGGTCTGTGTTCAACAACTGGCGTGACGAGTCGTTCAGGACACGCCGAGAACGCCAGCGCCAGGAGGAGCGAGCTGCCCAGCCGCAGAACCTGGCGAAGTGGGTCTGGCGCGCCTTCGTCCACCTTGAGGGCGGCGGTCGCTTGATGGACCACGCGACAGGCATAGCCTTGTCCGCGCGGTTTCGGGCTCTGACTGCAGAACAGAGGCAGCCTTACGAGGACTTGGCGCGGGTCGCCATCCAGGAGCACGCGGCTGGTCGGCGAGCCCTGGCGACCCAGAGGCCATCGCGAGCCCGAGCGCTGGGCCACACTGGCCAAGTATTGGTTGCTGCTGCTGGCCATGACGCGGGCGACCGCGCCCTGGCGGAGAGCGCTGCCTTCGCCCATGAGAGCGTCATCTTGCGAGCGCCCCTGGTCGAGCGGCAGCGGCACAAGGCTCAGCTGGCGAGGGGGCGAGCTGAGGTCGAGGGCGCAGCCGACGACCTTCGCCGCGAGTCTACTCGCGACGCTGCGGCGCTGGCGCGGGACTGGCACGCGGTCAGCGGCGGCATGCCACAGTCTGCATCTGGTGATCTGTCTGTCCACCGTACTTTGGTGCCTGCGGTGGTGTACTCCAGGACGCCTGACCCCCTCGCGTCCGAGGTCTTGAACGCGCTCGACACCAGCTCCACGCAGGTCGAGAACGACAAGTGGAAGAGGATGCACCCGCTCTTTTCCGAGGCAGGCTGCCGAAGGCTGCACGCCCCGACGAGGCCCGCGCGGCATTGCTGGCTGGCCGAGTATTGCGTGTGCACAGGCCCCCCCGTGATCGCCAAGACGTTTCATGACAGGATGCGCGTGGTTTGGCGCGTGCTCGACCACCAGCTCGGGTCCAAGGTATTCGCGGAGAAGCTTTTACTGGGCCGCTTGGTCCTGGAGGTTACCATCGAGGGCCTCTCGGCGGCGCCCCTGGAGCCCGCGCCCGACCCATCGGCGCTGGAGATCGCCCGCGACCTCCCATCGCTCACGC